CGCTTCATGTGTGAATTACCCCTTCTCCACTTACGGCTTTTCCGTCGAGGACCCACGCGGTTGACCGTCCGTCGCGTGCCTCGCGTCGCGCGAAGCGTCCATGAAAGGATCTCCCTTCCATAACAAACGGGAAAACGCGCCATCCGCGGGTTTTCTGACATGCTTCACAAGTCTACGCGCGGTGCATAATGCACCGCTTGGGGCACGTACCCTTTGACTGCACAGCCGTTCACCATGTCCAGTAATTCACTCTCTTTACTGTGGGTATGACGCTTCGCCAACGCAAGCCACCCAGCCGATTACCTTCCTTCACGCGGAACAATAGCCCCAAAAAACTGCACATCCCCCACTCTGCTCGCAAGGTGAGACCTGGACAGTAACGTCTGCGGACTGCGGATTTACCACAGGGTCCAGCATATCATGCAACATGCAAGTTATCGGGCCCTCAGTGGGGCTGAGCCACCTTTTTTTCCCTCGTCCGATGGATGACGAATGTTGTCTTACGCCCCACCCTATGTTAAGTACCTTGATTGGTAACATGTCGAAAGGATCTGACTTGACTGTGCAGAAGCGTGCAGCTATGGTGAAACACGATGAATGGAGAGGCTAATGCAGCAGAGAATGGTATCATGGATGATGGATGATTCATATTCGGACCGCTTCTTTGTGAGGAGATCAGATGGGTCGCGGGAAGCCTGAGGTGCGTGGTGTGAGTGGCTGAGCAAAGAGGGTCAGTTTCCCTGCAGTAGTCAACACGACATACGATACATGGACACTTGGGGAGGACGATCTATCGAAAGGGGACATCAGAAGGGCAAGGCCAAAGACCGATGTCTTGACCGTCACACACGATCCGATACGGGTAAACACACCATCGCCTAAAACGCAACATCCAGCAAGCTGCATCTGACAAACTAACAAGAAACGGGCTGCTGTACTACGACATACGCCGTTGCTGTGCCACACCACATGCTCCCCACGTTCTGAAAGCGGAAACATAGCCTATCGCGTACCAGAGACATTGTCCGTGTACAGCCCTCCGGACCTTCGCTTCCCAGATCCAGATGACGGCCTTTCAGCAAGCCACTTACTCTACGTGCATCCTCAGCAAACGATAGCGTGTGAACTAAGCGACAGTCATGGGGGGTAAAGGAAAAATTCCAGATAGTACAGCGACGATGATAGGCCAGCAATAGTGTGAATTATTGAAATAACGTTATGCAAGACATACGGTGTGAGTTTCCGAGCAAAGGAAAAGCAAAAGCAATAGCTTGTTTTTCCCTTTCCCCGCGCGGGAGAAGGACCAGGCTTCCGTCACTGTCCTCACACGACCACTTCCGGGTGTGTGCCCTCATGACTCCCAGGATAGGCTTGTTGAAGTAGAGTCGGACCGGGACGGAAGGACCTGTCCGTAAGCGGGTTGCGGATCGCGCCTTATTTGGGGTTGTATTTGTCCTTCCAGATCCTGTAGAGAGAGATAAGTCAGCACGTTGTTCATCCCACCAATCAGTGAAAACATCCTCGGTATCCAGTCGGTGCAGACCAAGGAGGCAACGGGATGCCGAGACTACTGCGGGCTAAAGACCCAGATCCAGATCGTGATGAAGTTGTTGATGGGTCGTTGGTCGTCGTCCCGAGGCTGCCGTCGTTGTCGCGATAGCCGTCATACAATATTCCGCTTCTCTTTCAGCACCACCATTGTCGCGCCATCAATGCAACTCAATCTCCAGCTTTGCTCAGACCATCCGTACATGCACCATCTGACTGTGCTCCACACACACCACAACGTTCGTGGTTCCGTCATAATTGGCTAAACCTCCCCATCGTTCCGCTTACTCTTCCGCTTCGGAACCGAGGCCACCAGCGACGCGCCACGTGTATCCCCGTAGACAAGCTTGTGTGTACTATGCACCCAGCGCAACGGGTCTGGAGGCATGCCACTATCCATTATTGGAACGGGAGAGCGAGGCTTGTGCCAAACGGGACATGTGCTACTGGTCAAGTTTTTCTTTGCGAATGCCATCATGTGTGCGTAGCGGGGAACTGGCAGTAAGTGTGACAGGTCGTGCTGCGGGTGAGGGCGAGGGCCGTCCAGCGTCCGCATCGACTAAGCGAGCAGGACTGTTCAAAACGGTGCATCGAGGGCCAATCGATTATGCTTGGCAGATGCGCGTTGAAACCGGTCGGCCGATGCGGACAGTAGCGCTGTGCGTTGGATTGTTGGATCCTGTCTGGTTGCTATGGTGGCTTGGTGTTGAGGATTGATTGAGGATGCAACACCGGCTGGAACGGGATCGCGCGGATGAAGGTCGTGATGGCTGCTCGTGGTGACCACCATGTGCTCCATCCACACGGCGTCAAGGTGGTCCTCGGTCCGGCATATTCTCGCTCTTCGTGCTCGATACAGAAGGGGATGAAGGAAAGAATCTATGGGGCTTACCATGTGTTGCCTAACGTCTTGTTCCCTTTGGATTCCGCGAGGCGCAGAAACTGAGCCGCTTTGAACTGGCGAGGCGCAGTTAGCATACCTGCCGCTTAATCCGAATACAATCAATGCTGCCCAAACAATGAGGCGGGATAACGAGGGGAAGTCGTGTCTCAGTGCATATTGCGCGTGATAGCTGAGGTCGAGGCTGTACAAGACCTCCGGGCTGACCGTTCGCGTCGCTATCGCATGAACCTCTAAACGAGTCGACATTGACCGGTGACGCAGGCGTGCACTGCAGGACGGCCACAGTTGGGCTGAGGAGAGACGACACGGCTTGCTTACCTTATCCTTCTTCGTTCCAAACCCCTCGGTATAGCACCAGGCTACCTCGTTCATCGCATCTGTGTCACCTAGATTGGCGGCGGTCTCGTAGTATTGCTTTGCGGCTGCGGGATCTTTCTTGATACCCCAGCCATTGCGGAAGCAGTTGGCGAGTTCGTACATGGCCAGCACGAGCTCCCCTTTGGCTGCACCGCCTTTCTTCATGCCAGCTCCGAGTGCGAGTTTCTCGACTTCAGCGCTGTTCGCCGCTGCCATGGACAGGTATTGGACAGCTTGTTCCTGGTCAGGCTCACATCCCCAGCCATGGCTATGTTCTAGTCAGTACTGCCTTGGGCAACATCCAGGGCAACATTCGGGTATGCTCTGGTGATATCAGGCTGCGATCAGTGAGGCTGAACCTACCGTAATGCGAGACCGTAGAGAACCTGCGCTAGAGCATTGTTCGCACCCGTTGGTTCTGCAAGTCTGCCAAAGAGCGCTGTTGAGGCCTCAAGATCTGGTCATCCTGTCAGCTTCATCATGAGAGCCCACCTCGTGTGACTACTCACTACTACTCTCATGCAGACGGATAGCCTCTTGGATCGTCTCCTATGCAAAGCTTAGACCAATTCTTGCCCTTTCCCAGAGTTATGCATACCTCGTCCGCAGGCGCACCGACAGTCCCACTACGACTCCTTGCGCTCGTCGGTCGTCCATGTGACATTGGATTCACAAACTCGTGGCTTGGTGTATTGGGCTGACTAGATCCGTGTTGCCCACCCATTGTGACCAGCACCGTAGCCCTCGTCTCCCACCTGGCCTCTTCCTCCTCTGTTCGTGCGACGCCGTCTCCTCCGACTTCTGGCAGATTGTCCGGCACGTTTATTGAGCTGCTCGACCTGCTCCGTCCAAAGTGCAACCGCTCCGCCAGTTTGTCATGCTTCTGCTCCCCACCAACTGCTTGCGATCCCTGAGAGGAAGCGCTACTGCGACTTCTGAATCGGCCAAACTTGCCGCGCGATGTCGGCGACAGTAGAGGAGACTCGCGCGTGGGATCGCCGGGGAAGCTGGGCGGCTCGATGGTCTCTTGCGTCGAGGTCGTGGTGCGGAAGAACTGGAACTCTGGGACGTCGGGAGACAGCGTAGGGCCCATGGGTGACGTGGGAGTCGCGCCCTCATCCCTAATCTTGTCCTTCTTCTTCAGCAAGTCTTTGAGCGCCATGGTGGTGCGCAAGGGAGCTGTCGCGTCGAGTTTCGCGTTGCCAGCGTAGGCAAGGGGTACGCGGCTCGAGACCTAACAATATCCAAGGGTAACTTCACGCAACGGAAAGCGAGCGTTGTGCGGTGGGTACTATTCAATTCTGAGGGTGGTCCTATATCTCCGTAGATTCATCGCAAAGGTGAAAGCGCTCATGGTCCTGCCGGCGCGGGCTGTCGAATTGTAAGGCACGATTGACTGTAGGACGAGGGCCAAGCAGTAGCCGCAGCCCGTCTCAGCCTCCACTGCGCGCCTCATATGTCAGACGCAGCGCCACGAACCGCAGCAATCACAATTTTGTAGCTATACTGCGGTACCAGACATACGTATGTGGTGAGACCATTATCACGAACACATACAAGACATTCAAATGAAGAGGGAACATTTTCTATGAGGGGTGTCAAGCCTAATAGCCCGTCTCACACTAGGAATCATGGTACCTGACGCTACTGATGCCCGCGTCGAAGCATTAATTAGTGCCTGTTGAAGATGGCGACTGACTACGTGTAGCAGTCTATGGCATCACACAGCAGACGGAAGAGATTGGTCTTAAGTTCTTGATTTTTTTTTTTACATTTTTTTTTCTGTGATCTTTCACGTACATGTCCTTCATGGGACGACTGTATCCATCAGCAAGCCAGCAGCGACTTCGTGAGCCTCTGTGCAAAATCCGCCAAGCGTACAACGTCGCATCGGGTCATATGATACGCTTGCAGCAGGAGCGAGAGATTTCGCTCGGTTAGAAACAAGGAAAAGACAAGAGAGGTAGGAAATCGTAAGAGGGGGTATCATCGAAAGAACCCTGAACGCCATGAATAGCTCTGGACCTTCAAAAGTCAAGACAAGCTGAATGCGTTCCAGAGATTACCTACCAGGTCGGAAAACCACAGGTTGGAAACTTTGGAAACCTCAAATTAGGAAGGACTGTAATGGAAGCTGAGCAGAGGGGCACATACTATGTCCGGATATCACGGATCCAGTGAGTGGGCAATGCTACTCGTCGTCGTTCTCAAAGGCAACGAAGTCCGCCTGCTGTGTGAACTGCTGTGGCTTCGGAGAGGTTCCAGTCTTGGGCATCATCCATTCATGAGCATCCTCGGCAGTATCCATATCATCCTCTGGAGCGTCCGAAGTAGCAGGGGTGTGTGATGAAGGAGAACGAACCGGGGAATTAGGCGGGGACTGGGCTGGAGAAGACAGACGAGTGGTCTTCCTCATGCGAGAGGCAAGACGAACATGTGGATAGTGATGCCTACCAGTGTAGGAACACTCTCCCGTATTGGCGAAAGTGGGACACTCATATGCATGCAACTCGGCACAGGTGTCTCCTTTCTGGCAGTAGCCCAAGCGTCCAAAAGCTTCGCAGTTCGGTGCGGATGGATTGACACGAACATGAGCAAAGCGGCAGTCTTCTTTGGTGCATCGGCCTGCTTGGAAATGCTGGCACGTAGGCGTATTGTGCGACGATGCAGTATGAGACAGTTGACAGGTGCTGTCGGGGCAAACACCCTTGAAGAGGACAGACTTGCATACGGTTTGTGTATCCGGATCATGACGAAAAGGACAACCCGGGATGGAACACCGACCTAGACAAAGGTTAGAGGCGAACAATGGGTGAGGAAAGGACCCGAAATGTCGTTTCGTCGAAATACCTGTGTGTGTAAAGTTGGCACAAAGTCTTGATGGTTCAGTCGGCTGGTGATCTCTGGATGAGGACCTGGTGCTGTCCGCCGGTACCTGCGCTGGATCCTCGTTCTCTTTGGCCTCGCGTGATTCGGGGACAACATGTGTGCCATCGGAATCAACAGTGTAGCGAGTATACATAGGTGCATTGAGAGGACGCGCGTAGGGGTGGTAGGGTGTGTAGCCTCTGCCTCTGCCTACGGCACCTCGGCCTCTACCTGTACCATAGCCGCCGCGCTGGTTGTACTTGTTGTACGGAGGGTTGTAGGAAGGATTAGCGACCGGAGTGTAGACGGGATTGAAGACGGGGTTGTGGACGGGTCTGTAGGAAGGAATGGAGGGAGAAGTATAGTTGTGAAAGCCGTGGGAGGTGTTGCGGTAACCAGAGCCAGTATAAGCGTTCGACTGAAGCCTCTCGCGCTCTTCCCTCTCTTGTTTCTCTCTCCTGGCGCGCGTAATGTAGCCTAGAAGTAGATCGTAAGTATCTTTCTGACCCTGCGACTCGGATTTCACGTACTAGTGAGCTCTGCCTGGGCGCGAATACGTTCCTCCTGTGAGGTTATCGCTTGGAGCTGTTCGGCCGTGTACGGAGGCGGACCGAGCGGCGCCATTTTAGCACTGGAGTATCAGGAAATCTATGACTTTCACTTGTTAGTAATGCGCACCCCTTCCACTGCAGCGACACTTTGAGGTTCCGGCGTTCGGCGGGCGGTTGTTGGTGAGGTTTTGCCAAAGCAGAGCGTGGGGCAACAAAGAATAATACAAGCGGTTAGGCTGCGGCAGCTCTTGGCAGGGTCCACGTCACGTGCTGTCTGTCTGCGCCCGCACGCGCTAGCCATGAAGGGAACTGACGCCGTAGTCTTTCGGTGTTCATACGCTTAGTTTTAGTCAAACATCTTCTCCTTACACCTAGAGGAGAAGTTCTTTGAAGTAATGCAGTCACAGCGGAATGTTCAACGATCATGTTCTTCACCGTCCAGCTAGACCACACACAGAAGGCATACGACCCAATTGCTCTACGATAGTGTCAAGCATTGCGCACACCTTAAAAGTGCGATCTCGCTGGTAAAACTTGGGGTAAAGCACCTTCTTTGTGAGGCTGATCAAGAATAATGGATGACAGGAGTCTCATTTCCGAGAAGTAATACAGTGGAAGCTAAATGTAACATGCACTCAGACACGCGACACCTCAATCGAAGTACCGGACCGCGACCTTGATATCTCCTCGACCCGCCTCCTTGAAGACGTCCAACACTGTCGCATTCAAGTGCTCCTTGACAACCTCAATGTCACTACCAAACCAGATCAGCGTCAGGTCCTTCAGACTGACAAGCTGACACAGGTCCCCTAGTTCTTCAATGAACCATGCCTTGAGTCCGGCCTCTGGAATCTTGCCATCCCTGTACACCCCGAAGGCGTCGACATACAGCCGTACATCGGAAATGATGTCGGTTTGGGAAGGAGTGAAAGTTGTCAACAACAGCTCGATGACATGCTCTGCGTAGCCGACGAAAACGTTGAGGGCGAACGGGAAGAGGTTGGCTTCGAAGTAGATCTGTCGGCAGGTCTCCAGTAGGTTCAATTGTGATCTTGGGTATGCCCAGTGTGGCCACTCTCTGTGCTCACGGGTTGGGCGAACTGGATGGGAGAGGAAAGCGTATTTGTAGATTTTGTTGCGGAGTTCTGCCGGAAGACGAAGGAGGGGTGACTTTCGGTGATTGCGCTGTGAGCTGTGTCTTCGTTAGCTAGCAGTACAACGAATGCAAGATCCAGTACTCACATTGCTGCGAGGCGATCCATGAGCACAACACTGCGATCGTAGTAGCGTACACGTTCGGGAACAGACATAGCCTCGGCGGGCGAGTACATGGCGAATACAGAGCCCTGGGAGTTGAGTGCAGATAGTAAAATCAAGAAGGCTGCGTAATCACTTTTGAGCATGTGCGAGGAAAGTGGGGCGGTAAACAAGGAGCACGGTGTGGAGGGAAGGAGCGAGCCACTGCAAAAAAGTGAGAATTAAATGACGTGCCCGCGGATTGGGCATGCGTGACGAAACGTTTCGGTGTGTATACGTGAGTTGTTCAGATGTGTCGACGCTAATGGATATGTATTTGGTTGCTGTCATGCTCACGATCTGGAAGGTTCAATTTATTCTTAACAGCGTCACTACAAGAGTTCACGAATGAAACAAAAAAGCTTTTCGGTGGTATATGGAATCTTGATCGAGTTCTAACATGATCATCCACATTATTCGCGAACTGCAGTCGAGTACATGGACTCCACGTGGTCGGAGAAAGACACCGGAAGCGACTCCTCACTGGCTGTAACACAGCTCTCCAGAGACCTTGCATGTGAGCGCTTAGTAACACGTACCTATATCGGCTTCACACATAGCATCTCGTTTGGGGATGAGGTTGATACGACCTCATTCAGATGTCATCGGCATCCATAGCTGCGGTCACTGAGTTGCTGCATCGTCCCATCTTATCCTCACGCAATGGAAGCTCAACAAAATCGAAGGTAGGATTGAACAAGTTTGAAAGTCCATGGAATTTACATATGACCAGAATGTGAGTCCGAACTACCGGTAGGGCCGGTGAGGCGACCTGAAATCACAGTACAAACGGCCCAGTTCCTTACTCTGGCCTATCAGCTGTCTCGATGCCACAATATAGAAACCCAAATCCAATACTGCTACTCTTCAACCTGCGAACGAATTTCTATCTTTTTTCCGCGAGTTGTCTGCTGTCGCAAGGCGTCTACTACCAACAGTCTGCAATCCACCGCCCAACCGTTTTTCCAGACATGCTTCCAGGGGTTGCCCTCGTATTGCAAAGGAGAGAGAAGGATTTGTTTTAGTTCCGGTAGCCTCGCAAGCCTCTCTAACGTCGATAGTAAAGTATCGTGTAAAACCAAACGGGCGGGCGCGTATAAATTCTTGAATGAAGGCCCGGGGTTTGATACATCCATGGTGAAACTGAAGTGATAGTCATCCATCACAATGTATATAATCGATATGGCATCGGCTTGATCCCGACTGAGAAGCCTTGTAATGCTTCGTAGTGCCCAATGACCACCTTTGAATGTATTCGAGGCGAAAGGAAGTAGCCTGGCCTCGGTATAGATTTGACGGCAAGTCCCGAGTAGCTGTAGGTTCTGTCTAGGATAATGTGTGTGACCATCACTTTTCGTATTCTCGCTAACTGGGGCGCAAATCTCTATGTCGTCTTCTTGAAAGACGTACCGATAGACTGCGTTTCGAAGCTCGGGGGAAGGCGGAGAAGGACGCATTGCTTTTGATTCTGAAGAGTGCTGGTAGAAGCTGTTAGCTGAAGTCCATACTAGAAGAGATATGACCTACAGGGCAGCGAGTGCAGCGGTAACTTTTGGGCCATCGTTGTTCTGCTCCATTCGTTCGAGTGGTTGTTGTGTCGACTGGATTTGTAACATAGTATTACAGTATTAAAGTTGAGTAGTCGAGACCGTCGAAGGGCTCTGGATTGAGCGAGATTGGGAATCTAAATGCCGGAACCAGAGGGTACGGATCAGGCAGTCGTAGTATGAGGCGATAATGAAGAATGAATCAGGAAAAGTGCACAGACCTATGGCCTCCGCAACCCGGAACGCATGAGTAAAACGTCACGACTTGGTATAGTGCTTAAATCTTGTACAACCACTTTCATGTCAGACGTTTGTTTCGCATGCTCAAGTTCTCTCGCTCATATTTCCGGTGTCTTTTTCTCCGTTACAGACCAGTTCTGTGTGCTCCATCACTTCGACCGGCTCACTCTATAGCAAGCTTGCTAAGTTCGCACAGACTTTGTATTACTTGCAAGGTAGATATGCAGTGGCTAAATCATGATAAAGAAACCGAGAGGCCTCGGACTCGATGAAACGTCTTTGCCGAATATTATGACAATAGTTTGTTACGTTAGTGTCAAGGAGGGGGGAGGGCACTAGTATCTCCAGGAAGTGTAATGTACATTTATTGGACAACATGATAGTACATGTGTATACTTAGCTCCCGTAAGAGGATCTATGTTACACTGTCAAGTGATGTGGAGATATAACCTTTTCTTGACACTTAGTCGATACGGACGAATATCTTAATCTTTCTTCGAGATGGCCCTGAAGTCCCAGTTGTTCAGGTAACCTGATCCAATCTGTTTGCAGCATCAGTCTTTGGCAATTCACGCACGTCGAATAGGGATAGTACTTACGCAGAGGTATGTTGCGAAGCTGACCCAACCAAGGTACGGTGCGAGCAGCCATCCGCAAACCGGGTCAACTTGTCCCCAGATGTTGATAAGGTAGGAAAGAGTTCCACCAAGAGCGAGAATATCAACCGAAGCCGGAATGGGACGACCGAGACCAAAGTAGAGAGGAGTCCACATCAGGTTCAGGGCCAACTGGATAGTATAGAGAGTGGCTCCGTGCTGCACCGGGTTAGCTCGGATAATAGCAGATCGCGCACAGCATTCTCATACCTTCGCCAGAGCAACAGTATTGGGGTTAGCAGACGTCGCTCCGATGGTGTATGCGCGATATGCTGTGTAGCCCATGGTGGCATAGAGTGCTGTCCAGACTGGTCCGAATACATAACCGGGAGGATGTAGTGGAGGTTGCTTCAGCGTTCGGTATGCTGTTTGAGACACACTTGCTGTTTTGGAATCAGAATTATATTCCGGTACAAAAGTACCATTGGCTTACGGCTGATGGCAAATCCTGTGGCCGTTCCACACAGAACAGGTAGCAGGATAGCCACTGCAGGGTTCTCGAAAGCAAAGCTGGGAAGCGTGAGAGAGGGGATGTAGCTCGTCATGATGGCGTTTAGTGATGAGATTCGTGTGTAACTGTCGATCAATGTCACATGCGCAATAGCAGAAGTCGCCAAAGAAAGAAGCGTCGTGTACCTGCACTCCGCATCTCGTGATATTTTCGGAGCGCCAATCACAGCCTCGGCCAACGCGTGGAAGGCCGGGTCCACTTTCCGCGTGGAACGCTAGCCCCGTCTCAGCCGTCGTTCGGGTCTCTCCAGCCCTCCGCGACGTACCTCACCCTTCTCTCTGCCATCGCCCTCTCCACCGGCATCGTTCTGCCCGGGAGTCACTTTAGCACATCGTGAGTGCACCTTCTCGTCCTTCAGCTGTCCCATTGTTCGTACCCCTTCTTCCTCTTGTACAGCTGTCTCGATAGCTCGGATAGCTTCGTCCCCGTGGCCCTGCGCCCAGCCTCCCTCCAGCTGCCTCTCTGACCTTATCTTCCTGCGGCGCTGCCCGTGTGCTCTCAATCGCACCAGGCGTGTCGGCTTCTTGTCACTTCTTACCCGCCTCTTCTTCCTCGTTACTAATCGCATTCCCTCTCCGTCACCTTGTCCCTGACTTGTTCCCTCTCTGACCGAGCCATCATGGCAAACAGCTACCCGCGCCGATTGCCTCTCGAGCATCCGCTCCCATCCAGCGCATACTCCCGGCGAGATTGCGCGTCAAAGCAACCGGAGACTACGCGCGCTGCCCCCAGGCTCGCTGCACTACACTCACTCCGAGCCGCCTAAACACGACTGCCTGTCTCGATTTCGCGCCACATATTCATAACCATTCACCATCTTATC